GTAAGGGCGATGAGAAGAAGAACAAAGCAACCAAAGAGGCTGCTGTAGCGTCAAAGAGCGCAAAGCCGCATCCGGCGAAAGCGTCGCGTCCTGAGGCCCTAAGCGGCTTGTTGGATGTGACACTGATCAGCGATGTACGGGAGCGTGATCGGGATATTTCCGATGACGAGTATTCCCCTACGAATGTGTGCATGTTTCCAGACTCATGGGAGGGCGCAATGCCGACCTCCGTAACTGGAAAGCCCGGAGGCTTTGAGCAGTTCAGAAACGAGCTCATGAGGATCCAGAGAATCCTGGATTCTCCGGCGTTGGTCGACCTTGGTAAGGTCGATCTGGACGCTCTGGGCGAGCCGCCCAGGGAGTACGTCTCGGATGAGGATCACGAGGGTCACGTAGATGATGATGGGATGGGCCCATATGTGGACAAGTTCTCATCAATGGGCGACCGCGACCTAGTGCCCTCAAGGCAGGAGCCGCCCTACTATGAGGCAAAGGCGTGGCGCACCACAGAAGAGGAAATTGAGAGGATGAAAAACCTATTTCCATACGTTCGTGCCGAAAATTATCGGCTTATGTCAGCGGGGACTGGTCCCATAGGTGCCAAAGCGCACGAAAAGGGCGTCCTCCCTGCTGGTGCGTCGCTGGAGGATGCACTGATGGCAAAGCCCGATGTGTGCCCGATTGCGAGCACCTACAACCTCACATACGAGGGTGAAGAGGTTGTGTTTGATGCACAGAGCGGGACAGCAGGCAGAATCGCCTGTCCTGCCGGTAACGACATCTTCCATTTTTTCCCCGAGATTAAGGATACGTCGGCGATGCTTGGGCGAAGCTCCAGGGAGTCGCAAATGCTGCTAGAAATTTTGTCGGGCAACACTGACCCAACGCGGTTGAACGTGAAGCCCGGTGAGCCGGCTCCCTTCTTGTGTGGGACGGTTCCAGACATTCTGGGAGGTTGGATGTCAATGACTCTAATCTCAACGCTCTTTGAGGCCCTATACGGGATCCATAAGTGCACGAGTGTCGAGGTGGCGACCTGGGCGGGTTCTCTCGCGAAGGAGAGCCCAGCGTACCCTCCAGTCGAGCTCCTAATACGGACAGTCTGGAGGGGAGATGGCACGACTGTGCGCCCGAATGAGGTGCTTTTTGCGCGTTCCACCCTAATCGGGAGGGACGTGCCGTTCAAAGTTTTCAAGCGTTGGGCACTGCGTGACCGAACGCCTATGGGGCCTTTGCTTAGGCCGTTGGGAGCAGCGGAGGTCCCTTATACGGGATACGTGCTGCTGACGATGGCCGAGTATCGGTCCGCCCTCAAAACGAGGTGCATTCGGAGGCCCGGCAAATTCGCCATCACAGTTTTCCCCATGCGACCTGAGCAGGTCTGCAGGGGGGAGATCATGATTGGGTTGGAGGGCGCAAAGGTGCCTCTCCTCAAGTTGCCAAGCCCCAATAATGAGGGCGAATTTTATGTTGACGATCGCGTCAAATACATGGACAAGCGCCATGTCGTTGTGGCCGTTGACCTAAAGTGGATGGCCATCGAGGAAGCCGCCGGCATCTATAAAACCCGACGCGGTTTGATTGCTGTGCGAGAGGAGATACATGCGCCCTTCTGGCGCGCATGTTATCTGCACCAGGAAGGGGATGTAATATACATCCGTCCCTGGGCGGTCCGAGAATTGAATGTCCAGGGACCGCGGAGAGGGGTGTCATTTTCATGGGACAAAGCTCCCATGCATGACTATTGGTGCCCTCGGTGCGCGCATTTGAATATGTATGGCACCATTCTATGCAATGGTTGCCATTTGCCGATTTTCTATCGAGAATGGGTGCCAGGCACCATCCGCTCCCAAGTTAGGAGAGGGCAGCCAGTTTGGCTGGACGGACTCAAGGCAGTCCGTGCCAACAGCTGGTATGAAGGGGAGACTGACGTGTGGGCTCCTCTCATGGCGTCGGTAAACCCGATCCGCGAGGTGGTCAGCTGTATGATCTCCGGTTTGCGCTGTGCGCCTCATCTTGTGCACAATCCCAATGCGGATACCGTGCAGGTTGCATTTCAGGAGGTTGTGAAAGTCACCTCAAGGGACACTCACGCTTGTGTGCGTGCGAGTGACGAGGCTCTCGAGCGGTGGGTAGCAAAACAGCTACTCATCGAGGAGAGCAATACTGGCGTCCCAATTCCCGACAATATGTCTGTCATGACATATTTGGTCGAGCACCCGCAACAGGCGGCGCAATGGGGTCGTCATATGACGAGAAAGGGCAGTCTAAATTCAGCATTTGCTCTTTACCTCTCTGTGCATATTTTTGATGCCTACCGCATCGGGATTGAGGACGGATATTTGGTTCCACTGTATGGCCTAGGCGCCTCACGTGCGGACATTATAATGTCATTGGTACAGGCTGAGCGACGCCTCTCGGACTTCAATAGTGAGGACCCAAGTTTTGATGCCTCCACAGTTCTCGATTTGAGTATCGACTCTCTGCGGGCCGGTGGTGGATCCATCACGGCCCCGATTGAGCATGCTGAGGCATACATTTATGTCGAAAATAACAAGGTTGACATGGTCCCCGCTGCACAGCGCGACGGCCAAAGCGCCATTGTTTTTGCTGACCCGCCGTCTGGGAAGCACCATAGGCGGGCAGCCACTCCTAGGGGAGATCATCGGTCAGCTACCCCGCGACCTGACCACAGGGAAAAGGGAGATCAACGAAAGGGCAATGCCCCTGCGTACCCTTGGCCCAAGGGTGAAGGTCACAAAGGTGACCAGTTTTCAGGCAAGGGTCACAAAGGTGACCAGTTTTCAGGCAAGGGTCACAAGGGTGATCAGTACAAAGGCAAGGGTGGCCAATACGGCTACCAACACGGGCAGTACGGTCGTGGCGGATCCGCCAGATCGAGAACTCCCACTGGCGGGTATCAGCCTGATGCTCGCGGGTCGGGGTACAAGGGTGCACAGGCTGCCCCTTTCCCGTTCCCGAGTCCGATGTATCCCACTTTCCCAATGGGAGGGTACATGCAACAGCCCATGGCTGGCATGATGCCGCAAATGTGGCCTGGCGCAATGCCGCAGAGTTGGCAGCCGCATATGCAAGGTGATCCCCGCGAATTCGAGAATCCGAGCTCGCCACATACCCCTACCTGGGGAGATGATGACGAGTTGGCCGAAACCGTGCCTCCTCCTCCTGGGGACTGGAACGTCAACAAGGGGAAGGGACGGCACGGCGGCGGACGACATCAGTGATACCTGAAGTCCGTCCGTGTGTATTGCATGACTGCGCCAATGCGCGTATGTTCTCAAGTCGGAATTCACAGGTAGGACTATGCTCCTTGTAGTGTTTCCCTGTTTCGGCTATTCGCCATCTCACAATTCGACTGCACGCGTGGCTATGCGCTATTCGCGCCAGCTGCGATTACCTGTCAGGTGTACGTCGCCACAGCAAGGCAGTCACCCTCGGCGGCGTCTATGGTCGCTGGCGATCAGCATCATCCTGCACCGCTGCAGCTGCTGGTGATGGAACTCATCAAGGTGCTGAGGTGAGGATCACGTATGCGTCGCACCGCTGACGGTGATGTTCTAGTCGGACCTGAACCGCTGCTGACAGCCGGTGGTATTCCTATCGAAGGTCTTTGCGTGATCGCGCGCCTAGACGGTGCTACTTTAAAGACCCAGGTCTTGTGGTCGAAGCACCACGTTTCAACCAGTGGGCCAAAGCGCCTGAATCATGAATTCAGAAAACAAATCCACTTGAACCTTACGGTTCATTGTGGTTGCATAGCAAATGTAGTGTATTTCATGCCTGCCATTATGGAGTTGAAACTTTGTTCTCTTTCCTTCTTTTGTTTTTTTTGGTTGATTTGGTTACCGGCGCGAATCCGCCCCATACCCGTAATTCGGGGTGGTGGCGGGATCCGGGCTCCAAAGTGAGCCCGGGTATGGGGTCGCGAACCCTGGTAACTTAATCCTCCGTGTTTCCTTTTCATTGTAACTCAACTCCAACATGGCCAATGCGCCTTTCCAAATTCACTCCTTCTCTTTGTACAGTCGAGGGGGGTGTTTTTGGGGGCATGTACTTTTATCATAGCATGTTTGCTCATTGCCATGGCCAATGCGCCATTTGGCTCAAGATTTGTTTCCGGCGGAAAACTCCGCTAGCACGTCACTCGCGCCATTCTGGCGCTGCCACTGCTCTCGCTGCAAAAGTGCGGCGGGCCTGGTCGGCGGCGAGGTGGTTAAGGTGGTGCTAGGTCGGGGCTATTTCTGGGAAACTGCATTGTTGCTGCTGCTCCGCTTTTGCTTGGTTAATTGCTTTGCTCGCTTGCTTGCTGCGCTCGCTTGGTTGGCCGCGCTGGTCCCCTTTCCTGTTTGGGTTTTGCGGTTAAACAGGATTCCCCGTTTGTTATCTGTGTGGTTCATTGCCAGCCGAGGGCACCACTTTGCCCTTGGGACTGGGGGGCTTAAACTGTCTCTTCTTGTTGGTGGATTAGGGCCTGTTTATTCTCTCCCGAAATACTGTTTCAAACCCTTTCGCATAAAGAAATGGACACTGTCCGTGGACAGCCCTTCCTGATATGAAGGGCTACCTGGGTCGAGCGCTTGACGGGGCTGGAAAGCAATTGGCGCAAGGTCCTAAGCTGCCCCTTTGCCAGGCCAGCAATTGGATTGACCTGCCTTAATTGCTACGCCTCACTTTAGACTGTGGGATCGCCCGTTGTACAGACTTTGTCTCGTATAGGGCTCGAAGAGGTTTTTGGTAAGCCGCCCTATAGAGAATATGCCCCTAAGCGCTAGGAAAATTGAGGTTGCTTCCCTTGGCAAGTCAAATGGGAACCCCCCGAACCACAGAGAACCTCAGGAAACCATATGGAAGCGTAGAAAACCATGGGCAACCATTGCAAACCATAGAAAGCCACATGAAACCATAGAGAACCACAGTAAGTGGAACCACGGTAAGTGGAACCAACAAGGGAAACCACAGGTAACCTTAGCTCGTGCGAGGTGCAGGGGGAGTACATCAAGGACCTGCCGGCTGAGCGGTTGGCTGCCCTCCGCGCCGTGTTCCCGGAACTCAGCGACACGGAGAAGATTCGGCTGGTGAGCGAGGAGCCCCGACGAAGGGAGACGAATCTGAGGGTTTTTGTATGACACGGGAATTCGCCGACTGGGTATTGACCCCATATAGGCACATGTCCGGAAAAAGCGTGTTAGCCCCAACCCCAGAAAAGGCACATTTCCGGATAAATCCGTGATATTTTGAACCATTCTGGGTCGTTTCCCAAAAATGAATGCCAGGGTGTAGTAGGAAAAACCCTCAAAACGAAGGATGACGAAAGTTTGGGGTCGAAGGCCAAGGAACCGAAAAGTGGTCAAATTAAAATGCAGAGAAAACCCCCGGTGGAAAAAAGAGCTCTGACTACTTTGTGCGTGTGCAACTTGGGGCCTGAGCTTCGACAATTTTGACCCCAACTCAACAGCTTCAACGTCTCCAACGGCTTTGGCCAGGAATTACCTCACTGATTCTCCAGGAAGCTCCTCACCGGAACCTCCCAGATCCTGGCCGGCCCAGACCCAGCCACGAACCCCAATTCAGATTCGTTGCCCAAAGCTACGGTGGATGCCCTAAATATAGGGAGCAAGGGAACTCCTTGATGTGCTGTATTGTTCAAAGGTTTTGTAGGTGGGTGTGGTTGGTTTACTTGCTATATGTAGGGCATCCACCGTACTGTTGCGTGTGTGTGTGTGTGTGTGTGTCTCTTTGCCTATCCGTTTGCCTATTGATATGTAATCCATCCATTTGTGCGTGCATCTATTTATCTACCTACCTATTTGCTATTTGTCGATCCGTTTGTCCATCTATGCATTTGTACATCCAACCACCAGATTGTTTGTTTGTCTATCTGCCTACCTACCTACCTATCTATCTATCCGTCTATCTAGCTGTGTATTCATTTGTCTTTCTATCTACCTATATTTCTACCTATCTCCCTCTTCTACATCTATCAATGCTATTCATCAGTCTCATCTATCGATCCACTGTTTGTTTATCTATCTATCGTTCTATCGTTGCATCTATCTCTCTATGTTATCTATGTCTCTACCTATCTATCTCGCTACCTGTACCTTTCAACCTAGTTATGCAATCTAATCTATTGTCTCTTTTAATTCATATAGCTATTCATCTATCTATCTGTCGTATCTATCTTATCTAGCTTAATCCATCTGTATATGTATCTGGCCTGTCTATCTATATGCTGTTTGTCTGTCTGTCTGTCTGTCTGTCTGTCTGTCTGTCTGTCTGTCTATCTACCTTTCTATCTATATATCTGTCTATTCTATGTAGTCTATCTATTCTATGAATCAAGTCTATCTAGTCTATCTGGTTGATCTATTCTGTTTGTTCTATCTAGTCTATCTGTTCCATCGATTAGTTCTAGTATGTCGATTCTATTTGTTCTCGATTCAATCTATTCTATTTATTCTATCTATTGTGTCTCTCTATTTATCGATCTATCTACCTATCTACCTATCTACCTATCTACCTATCTACCTATCTACCTATCTACCTATCTACCTATCTACCTGCCTACCTATCTAATCTAATGTATCTATCTACCTACCTATCTATCTATCTATCTAGATGCCTATTCATCTAATCTAGTCAGTCTAATCTTTCTGTCTACCTGTGCTCGCGCCTGCCAAGCAAGATTCCCCAAAACAACCACTTGAGACACAAATCACGCAAACGCGCCACCTTCCAAACCGATTTCACCTGCGCAGCGAGCTACGATTTCGCGCGGGCGCAACGCGAACAGCATGTTGCAAGTCGTATAAATCGCACATTCTGAGCCAACCTGCGAACGCTGGCGAACACTTGCGAACGCTTGCGGGCGCCTCGGCGAACACATGACCCCCAGGCCAACCTGGTATGGAACCCTTCTGCTACGACCAAAGGACACAACTGGAAAGAGTGTCAAGGTCACAACTATTTTGGACAGTCAGGCGATGTTGCGAACGAGCGAACTTTGGTAGGGAGTTTCGGCGTTTTGGCCTATGGCCACGAGGCCGGGGCTGGGGGTGTATTGCCCAGGACCCGCCAGTGCTTCTTCTAGAGCAGTTGCTCAGCGAGGAAGAGTGCGAGGCCCGGCAGATCTGTCGAAAGCCAGAAGAAACAGGCGAAAAGGAAGTCAGACTCATGGCCGCTCTCGTTGCAATGGCCGGACATCGAGATTGAGTTTTACTTAAGGCCAGACTAACTAGCTGGCTGACAGACACCATTGACATCTGAACAAGGAGCTGACTGTTAGCAACACGCGAGGGAGCCCGCCGCTCAAGCAGCGGCTATCGAACATGTTGACCGCCTAGCTCCATGCGCGTGTCAGTCAAACACGCCCCGCCTGCAGTGTCACAGCGCAGCATGTTCAAAGGGGGGCCCTCCGTGTGTTGGGTACACCGCAGGCATGTGGGTGTTCGCATGTTCATGGCTGGTTTGCGCAGCGATTCCTAGTTGCGTTGTTCGCCGTCGGTCCGTTTGTGTCGAAGCCTCAAAATGAACCGAGCCTGGAGCGGGTTTCGTTGAGTTACCGGCAGCCTGTCTCAGGTTCCCGTCATCAGTTTGGGCAGGATTTTGGAGCTATGCTCCAGCCAGCTGGACACAATTGAAACGTGGGGTTTGATGTTCCAAGCGGGTGGGTGAACGCGATCGCGTGAGGCCTTCGTTGAATCTATGCGGGATCCCGATGGCAGCTTCCCTGAGCGTTTGGGGCAAGCCAACCTCGACGTGCTGCTCGGTTTCGCTTTCAGGAATTTGGCGGGAAACTGTCGGCATTTGGGAGCCCCCAAGTTGATGAACTAGGAGTTAGAAGGTCAACAAATAAGCTTGTAGTATGGTCCTTTTCCTGGTTGTTGAGCGCATCGCCCCTAGTAGCTGCTTAGCAGCGTCATGCACGCAAAGTCGCCATTGACCGCACCGCGTTACTACCCGCCCGCTGGGCTTTGTGTTTACGCCAGTCACGCCCACTTTTGTCAGTTCAACGTCCCCTGCCCGAACCACATAAAACCCGCCCTCGGCCCCAAAACCAATCCTAGACCAAACCTCACCAAACCCGAAACCAGCCAATGTGAACCAAAATCTTGACCCCAGACCAGTGCCAAACCGATATCAAACCAGCACCAAACCAGCCACAGCCCAACCAAAGGAAAAACGGGAGGGGGTGGGCTGCTGGATCATGTACGTGAATATGCATTTGTGGCACGCACATTTTACTACGTATGGAGCATTATGGAATACAGGACAGCTTGGGCACATAAGGGGCCAATAAGCAGGAGGAGTACTTGTCCCAGCGGTAGTCACGACTTTGATCAGGATGTTCCATGCGTTTGTCTTTCCATCATCAGCTTCTCAAATGAGAAAGGACCCAGGTTGGCTCTCCCTTGAGAAGTCCCAATTCATTCAGTTGGTGGAAAAAGGCCCTTTGGCTGTACAGCCAACTGGTGTTGTTTTGTGTCCGGTCACTATGCAGGCATGACGGAAAGCGACCTTTAGGTCGACAGACGTTGGGGTTCAAACAGTGGGGGTGGGCAAGTCCAGAGTAAAATTTGCAGAGCTGATGCAGGGGATGCCTGAGATGCAGAGCGTTGTATATTTGTGTTGCTTTTTCGATGTCAACAAATCAAACAGCGGTCGGCCCCAACCAAGAGGTGCCTGAAATGGGAGAATTGAAGGCCGGGCTGGCTGACGCCGCTGCGCGCGGCTTTTCGGGGCGTCCCCGTGCTGGACTGGCTGGGGAATCCCACGGTGCGGTGGACCTACCGGAGCAGGCATTCACCGATCCGCATCGGAGACATGAGAGAAATAGGGTGGTGCGCTTGCTTGGCACAGGCGCCTTGTGCTTACTATATCATATATAGACGTATATATATATATATAAATATAAATATATACATGTATATATATATATATATCAATTTTTCGATTTTGTGGTTTCTGTTTCTAGATGTAGATAGGGCAAGAGAGAGTCCTTTGGGAAGCCGCCATGCAATCCTAGAAGTTAGGGCTAGCATTCAACACAATCCATACTCTCCTAGATTCTGAACCTCCGACTCGCACCCGAATTCAGACATTATTTGCGCAGTACCTGTTTCATACTGCGGATGGATGACACCCTGCACCACCTATAAGAATGCCTGGAATGATGATTCTTCTTTAAATGCCAACAGACAATGATGCTCAATGGTTTCAACGTGGTGCAGGATTTCCCATGCACGGTATGGGCATTGCATATTGTAAGTATGCTGGCCATGTACCATGCACACATACACGCACCAGTGCTATTTGCACATGTCACCAAGGCCCACCTTTCAGACATCGCATTCTATGATTTGCATTTTGATGGGAAGAGTGGGAGTGAGCATACAAATGCACGCAGTGTTTCTTGAGCATTGTGTTTGCCCTTTTTACGACCCCAGAAAGGGTCAAAAGAGCATAAACTACAGGAAAGCAAGTTCTAAGAACATTAAACAAAGTTCCGCTAGATCGACGATTGAAGATGAAAGTTGCACAAGCAATCTCTTCTTTAAAGGAGGGAGGCGCCTTATCCATTAAAGTCTCCATTTCGTTTTAACAAATGAACAACCTTGAAGTTGTCAAAACACTTTGAAGGTTTTACCTTGGATCGGAGATTGAAGATTGAAGATTGCACAGTAAACGTTTGAGGCAATCTTCGGCCCAGCATAAAAAGCGTTGGTGTCACAAGCATATGTAGTTGTTTAGGAGGCTTGAAGGCTGGCTAGGATAGAAACGTCTAGAAAACGTGTTTTGTTGAATCTTCTATCTTCATTCGTCGATCCAGGGTACAAGAACAGCTTTAGAGTATTTGGAGCTTTTTGGGGTTGTTATGGGGAATGTTCCAATTTGAATCTTCGATCCACGGGGGGAAACAGCTCTTTGTTTAGAGAAAGTTTAAAGTGTATTTGGGTTCGGTCCAAAGTAAAAATAGGAAGCTTTAAAGTTCTTGCAGACATTTGAAGCTCATATCAGCCTTTCTTAAATGCGGCCAGATAGAACGAACAATGCTCAAAAGTACTGCATTTTACAGTTTGTTTTTATGTGCGCTGCACCGCGCTGTTTGTTCCTTGAGCCAACGGTTTCGAGTGCACCCGTGTTATTAACGGTTCACACTCCCCCTGGATGCTCCGCATCCACGCTTCCAAACCTGCGGGTCCGCCGGTTTCAAAAGGCCGCTATGCCACAATCGCCTACCCCGCACTCACTCATCGCTCTCCTCCACAGGCGCCATGCCACGTCGGCTTGAGCTCGATGCCGACCCCCGCAATTCAATCAGCCCAGCCACCGCCGCCCGGTTCTTGCATTGGCCATGCTCTCGATGACCCCGCTGACCATGTTGTAGGCCATCTTGCTCTTCTTGCCCATAGCCAGCTTCTCTTTCTTCCTTTCCTTGACCAGCTCCCCCGGGCCTAGGGTTCCATCCTCCTTCATGCCATAGCGCTCCCTGAAGTCCATGCAGAGGGACTCCCCGACTCCTCGCCTCCAAGAATGCCCATCTGTCCTCCGAGAGCTGCTCCATCCTCCGATAGTACTCCATGCGCTCCGTGCCCAAGACTGACCTCGGCGCCCTCACCGGTTGCTTGCCCCCGGCACCATCACGCACATGGCACACTACCACCAAGTCTTGCTCCTGGGACTTTGCCCCGGATCTACATGACCTATTCGGTCGGGGTGCCTGCTTAGGCAAAGGTGTCCCGGGCCAAATCCCATCGTCTGTCCCGTCATTGTCTGTCCCGTCCTCCCACGGTCCCTGGTCTCTTGGACTGCCGGTAGTCCTCCCCCCCAGGAAACCCTGTCCGGACCCTTCATTCAAATTCAGTCCCCCTGCGGTGCCGCTTGCCGCCGTCTCTTTCGGTGGGCCCTGAGCCTCTTTTTGCGGTCCTTTCTTTTCTTGACTGGGTTCTTCAACCGGTCCTTTTACTTTCTTCACCTTTGACCCACAGGCCTTCTTTGTGATCTCCCAAACCACCACCGCCAGAACCGCCACCACCGTGAGGATCAACTCCACCGGATCGACTCCTCATCGATTTTCACCACATCCTCTGCCATTGCCCCTGCCGCCAGGCTGAGCATGCCAATCACCCCCTTCAGCTTGTCAACCACCAACCATCCTGCCGCTCCGAACATGCCGTTGGACTTGCTCCGCAGCACCTTCTTCACCTTCCTCTCCTCCAGAGTCAAACTGGGTCCTGGTCAACGCCTTCGTGAGGCCATCCGCCGCCAAAAGAGTTCCCCGGAAGGTGCCTCAAGCGCCAATCCTCTTCCTCAATGAGCTCCGTCAGCTTCCCTGCCCGGCACTTCAGATGCCTTGACCTCCACGCGCACGCTGGCGTCGTAATGATGCTGATGGCCGCCGCATTGTCTCCCAAGATCATCTTCCGAACCTTCTTCACCTCCAACATCTCCACCAACGATCACACCGCCTCTCCGATAGCCGTGGCCTGCACATAGCCCGTGAGCTCCGCCTCTGCCGTGGACATCGTGGTGTACGCCGGCCTTGTGGACTCCCACGCAATGATGCCTCCTCCATACATCACCATTACTCCCTGAATGGACCGTCCTCCTCCTGGTGCAAACCTCACGTCCGCCTGAATCTCCAGCGTTCCCATCTCCTGAGCCCCCGGGAATTCGGCTTCCCCTTCTCTCGGCTTCATTTCCTTCTTGTAGATGATGCCGACCTCGTCCGTCTCCTTCAAATAGCCCAGGATCTGCTTCGCCGCCCGCAACGCCTGCTTCGGATTCCGCGCCACCATCCTGGACGCTTGACCCACTGCGAACGCCACATCCGGCCTCGTTCGGGTCGAGACCCACAACAGCTCCCCTAGAGCTACCTGCGCCTCCCGAACCTCATCCGCAGTCCTATCTCCTTCTTCCTCCTCGGACAACTCCACCTTCGCTGCAGGCACATCAAAGCTCTTCACCTCGGGGTATCTTCCCACCAGGTCCCGGATATACGCCGACTGCCCCAGCCAGAATCCCCCTTCCTTCTCGCAGATCTCCATTCCGCAGAACGTAACCGGAGTGCTCCCTTCCACCACCTCCGGGGCAGATGTCTTCCACTCCTGCTGCAGTCTCTGCATGAAGCCCTTCATGACGTCCTCCTTGGCCCGCCACCAACATATCGTCCACATACACCACGATGTTCCCCACCGTGGCCCCGGACTCCACCTCCCTGATTGCCCACAGGTTTCCCTCCAGCGGGTGTATCTTGAACTCCACATCATTAACCCGCCACCCAAAACTTGCCATAGTCTTGTCCCTGTGGCAACCCCAGTCCTTTGGGCTTGTGTTCAGCCCATACAGCGCCTTCAAGACCAACCACCGCTCTCCTTCCTTAGTGACCCCAGCCTGCCCAAAGATCATGGGCGGGGTAACCACCAGCAGCTTCTGCCTCTGATTTGGCGCCTGCAGGAAGGCAGTCTTCACGTCCACCGTTCCCACCTTCCACTGCTCGAAGGCCGCCTTGCGGAGAGTAGCCCGCAATGCTATACTGTCCGCCCCTCCCGCGGACACCTCCTCTTTGGTTTCCTTACCTGACAATTGATTCCCGCAGACCACTGCCCGGACCTTTCTTCTTCCTGATCCAGCCTTCCTAGTGAACACCCCCTTGCCGGTCGCCACTTCCACCTCTGCGTGCTTCATGAGTTCCTCCGCTTCTGCCGCTGACAACGGCTTTATCGCCTGTGTCTCGGCCGTGAGCGACACATACTCCTCCGCAATGGCTTCCTTCCACAACTCCAATTCACCTCGGATCGTGTCCAGCGGAATCGTCTTTGTCTGCAGGAACTCCTCCTCCTCTAATCTTTGGACCGCCTTGACTACTCTCCTTTCTTCTCCATCAAGGCTCCTCAGAGTCTCTTCCAACCTTCCAATGTCCTTTGCGATCTTCTTGGTCCACTGCTCCACTCCTTCTCCACTCAACAACTCCTTTTCTTCCCACCACACTTTCTTCAAGTTCGCATGCCAGTGGACCAGCTCTTCCTCCCATTCTTTCGCCCCTTCTTGCTCTCGTCTCTCCCCGGCTCAGGGGTGTGAGCCACCTGACCCCTGCATTAGGCGCTCGAGAGAGATCTGTCGCGACCACCCCAATGATCATCTCCGCCTCCACCACTTCTTTCTGCTCCTCCATTGTCTTTGCAATTCTGGCCTCCGGGGCAAGTGCTGCCGCTGCCTCCGCTGCCGCTTCGGCCCCCACAACACCCACAACCTCCCCCCCGGCCGCCCAGGCCGGCGCTGGTTGCTTCCCCCTCAAGCGCCTCCATGCCGCTCCTCTTCCGCGACCTGCTCCGACACCGTGACCACTACCGCCGCCGCTCGCACGAAGCAGCCATCCTCGCACTCCACGTAGTAGCCCTGCGCCATATCCTTGGACGGTCCCCACACCTGCACCGGCTCAAACTTTTGGGGCCAATCCCTGTCCTTTCTCCACCTCTTGACCTTCACCATTGCTCGGCTGCCAAACGGCACCAGCGGAAGCTGCGGAACTCCTAGAGCCCGCATTTGACTCCTCCACCGCAGCTCAGCTGCGTGCCTCAAAGCCAGAGGCCACTTCTCCTTTGGCGCCCCGCTCGCCTCCAGCAGCACCTTGGTCCTTCCCTTGATGACCCCGACCTCGTTCTCGCAACGGCCATTTGCTTGGGGTTCATCACCTGCCGTCACCGTGCGCCACAGTCCCCTTTCCGCTACCCAAGCCCGGAAGGCCGCACATGTGAACTCCCTGGCCCGGTCCGTGTGCACCCGCAGAACTTGCAAC